CCGCCCATGGGGTTCTCCAGGCAAGAATACTGGAGTGGGTTGCATTTCCTTCTCCAGGGGATCTTCCTGATTCAGGGGTCGAACTCATGCAGGTGGATACTTTAACTCTGGGCCACCTTGGAGGCCCACAACTACCTGACATTTTCAAAACAAGAAGCAGTTTATGAGTAACTACCACCGAATATTATTATATGATTTTAAAAAGTTTTGTTGGGAAAATCAATACCCTACCCTAAAAAATTAGCAGGTTCAATTATTCATTTATATCTACGCTTCAGATCAGTTAAATGTGGAATCTAAAATATGGCAAAAATGAACCTGTCTACAAAACAGAGAGAATCATGGACATAAGAGAACAGACTAGCAGTTGTCAAGGGTGGGGGTTAGGAGAGAGATGGAGTGGGAGGCTGGGGTTAGCAGATACAATCTTTTATATATAGAATGGATAAACTAGGTCCTACTTATAGCACACAGAACTACATTCAATATCCTATGACAAACCATAATGGAAAAGTATATATATATACATATATACATATATATGTATATATATATAACTGAATCACTTTGTTGTACAGTAGTAATTAACACAACACTGTAAATCACCTATACTTCAACTAAAAAAGAAAAGAAGAAAAGAATGTAATCCATCCCAAGAAATCCACATCATGCTCTCTCTCAGCTGTTCCCACAACTCCTCTCCACGGGGACTGCAGTACAGACCTGTGACAGCCGTGACTGACTCTGCCAGGCTTTGCACTTTATAAAGGGAACCATAGCAGGCGCGTTTTGGTGGCCGGCTTCTTTTGTTTGTGATTCACTCCCAGTGCAGTGCGCGTGCTGTAGGCCGTTCCTTCCACTGCTTTTCAATGAATAAATCAACTGTGATATATTTCTACAGTGCAGTACTACCCACTTCATTTTCATTAAAAATATTTTACATTGGAAACCTCAAGGGCTTAGCTGTTGAAAGTGAAGTCCAGTGCTGTAATCAACACAGTTTATTCTCAAATCTTAAATTTCATAATGGCCTCAGCGTCTTGCATTAAGTAAAATATGGGTACTATCTCAGCTTCTGAGCCAGGAAAACCTGCTTTGCTTTATATCTGTTATTGGTTTTGTAACAAAATAACAGTCTCCTAAACTCCACTGTTAAGTATCATTATTAATCTTAGAACTCTATTCATACAGCAACATTCTTCCAGAATAAAATTAGACCAAACAAAAACATCAGCATTTACATTCAAGTAACTTGATTTATTAACTCTGAAATTCTTCTTACCTTCAAACTTTACACACTTATGAAAACATGTTACTTTTAATGCCAAAAGTACAAGTGCACTACATTTAGTTTTGATATGTGTTCAGTCTCTGTCCACCAACACACACACACACACATACACACACACACACACGCACGCGCACACACATAGACACGCACACACACATACGCACACACGCACACGCACACACATACACATACACACGCGCACACACACGTACACACACACATACACATGTGCGCGCACACACGCGCACACACATGCACACACACGCACACACACACACGCACACACATACACATACACACACACACATACACAGCACCACTCAGTAGGTTAAACTTCATTATGATAGTCTCCTCTTGATATTGCAGGAATTAATATTGCCTGGAAGAAACCCAAAACCTATATTATAGGAAAATTTAGAATGTCATGGTACCCTTCCATAAAAGTGCTTGCAGAAAAACATATTTTTTAAAACTCAGGTTACGAAGGTACAATATAGTTTGCATATGAAAGTGAAAGTGAAGTCGCTCAGTCATGTCCGATTCTTTGTGACCCCATGGACTGTAACCTACCAGGTTCCTCCATCCATGGGATTTTCCAGACAAGAATACTGGAGTGGGTTGCCATTTTCTTCTGCAGGAGATCTTCCCGACCCAGGGATTGAACCTGGGTCTCCAGCATTGTAGGCAGACGCTTTTACTGTCTGAGACACCAGGGAAGTCTTATTATCTATCTTAACCATTATTAAAAAAAAAAAAAAAGAACAGATTCTGACACAAAGCTCTTCAAGCAAATGAAGAAATGAATCTCAGTCCTGACTTTCATCTAACTTTTTTTCTGTGCAATTTGCTATGACCATTGTCATAAGGCTGTAACTTTTGTTCTCTGAGTTAGATATTAAATATGACTCATCCATGATATTGCTTTGGCAGATGACTTATTCTTTCAAAATAAGGTCAATTTTGCTAGTAATTGTAAGAAAATTAGTAAATCACGGAAGTTTTAAGGAATTGAGTGTCAAGCTGCATATTGTTTCAATCATTTCATTAAAAATATAGAAGAGTTAGGAAAGCTATTGTGTTCAGTGTCACTATGCTGTATATAGGGCTTGAGATAGTGATCTTTTATTTACGTCTTCATCTAACCTGGTGTGGGAAAACAATACAATAAGAGAAACAGCACAATACAGAAGCATAGCTTCAATAGATGGTGTTAAAATGTACCAAAGCAGTTATTATGCAAAGCCACATATCCTAAAACAAGAAACTTCCCCCACACACCCAAACCACTTACTTTGCTTTTTTGTGACTGTTTTCCTCTTTAATTATGACCCTGAATTTTTTTTCATTTTAGATTGATTTTAATTGTATAATAATGTTCCCAGTGAATGCAAAGGAGTATGATTGAATGATACACAATTATACTTATTCACTGTTTGAAAACCCCATCTAGTGAGAACTGATGGTTCTGGTTATTGATTAGACTATTTTATACATATTTTCCTAGTATCTGAAAAGGTAATGAGTCCAACATGAGTGAGCCAATAACTACTTTCATGATTATTTTTCTTTTGAGTTGCACATTTTAATAACATTCAGTTGGGATGGAAAATCATATAATCAACACAAAGCTGCCAGTCCCACATACACTTTTTAGTCACCATTTTTTAGAGTAGAATACCAACTTAACTGACCTTTGAAATTAATAATAAAATGTATTCATCTAGTATCAATAGATCTACAGTTCAAATGTAAGCCAAATCAGGCAGACTTGAATATGTCTGGCAAACCGAAGGAGCAGGCCATAGAATATGATTTACATCAGGGCTGAGAAGTGTAGTGAGATTCACGTACACTGTATATGACCTAGTGGAAAGACTGATGACAGGGGGAGAGAAGATGCTGAGTTCAGTATAGTGATATTCTCCAGACTGTAACTTCTTCTACTCCACTGGATCTCATGCTTCATATGAGGCCCTTATGACATGTATTTGTGGAAGGAGGAAGTTGAGATAAGTGAACTAACNTTCGATGATCCAGCAGATGTTGGCAATTTGATCTCTGGTTCCTCTGCCTTTTCTAAAACCAGCTTGAACATCTGGAAGTTCATGGTTCATGTATTGCTGAAGCCTGGCTTGGAGAATTTTGAGCATTACTTTACTAGCGTGTGAAATGAGTGCAATTGTGCAGTAGTTTAGTATTCTTTGGGACTGCCTTTCTTTAGCATTGGAATGAAACTGACCTTTTCCAGTCCTGTGGCCACTGCTGAGTTTTCCAAATTTGCTGACATATTGAGTGCAGTACACTCACAGCGTCATCTTTCAGGATTTGAAACAGCTCAACTGGAATTCCATCACCTCCACTAGCTTTGTTTGTAGTGATGCTTCCGAAGGCCCACTTGACTTCATATTCCAGGATGTTTGGCTCTAGGTGAATGCGAGTCATCACACCATTGTGATTCTCTGGGTCATGAAGATTTTTTTTGTACAGTTCGTCTGTGTATTCTTGCCACCTCTTCTTAGGTACCTACCATTTCTGCTTCTGTTAGGTACTTACCACTTCTGTCCTTTATTGTGCCCATCTTTGCATGGAATGTTCCCTTGGTATCTCTAATTCTCTTGAAGAGATCTCTAGTCTTTCCGATATAAAAAGTATACCCATCCCATAAAAGCATATAAAATGCTCTTCCTCCCCTCTGATTTCAGACACAGTAGGCAGAATCGAGGCTGACGGTTTGCCACTCTGCACGTCCCCTGCACCAGCCACACCCCCTCCTCCAGAGCCTGGCCCTCTCCCCGGTTCCACCTGGAATCTTACCCCATCGCCCCCCTTACCTAGAGCCCTCTTCTCTTTCTTCTGTACCCCGTCAACTCCTACTCATCCTTGAGATCTCAGTTTCAATGTTATTTCTTCAGAGAAGTCTTTCCTATCTAGTTCCAAGCCCTCTACACTGCATTGTGCGCATGTGAGGCAGTGATTTTATATTTATGTTTTATATGATTAACATTTATCTTCACATTAAACTGTGAGTTCATGAGGGCAAGGAGTGCATTTTGCTCAGGATCATATGCTGAGGATACAGCATAGTAGTAAACACTCAGTAAAGCCTGCGTAAATGAGCATACAGTTTGAAACCAGCACTGTGCTAGGTGTTCACTTTTGATTCTTTCAAGGGCACATTAAGATCAGTATTAGTATTTTTGTTTTACTATGTGATGATGTTTAATCAAAAATTCTTTGACTTTCCTCCCTTCAAAAGATGGAGCCTAATTCCCTTCCCACCAAACATAAGCTGACTCAGGGGCTTACTTAAAATGGACAGAATGCAGCAGAAGTGAGAGCACCATAAAGGGCACTGCGCTTCCGCCCTGTTCTCTCTGGGGTCACCCCCTCTGGGCGCAGCCAGCTGTCGTGTCATTCAGACACATCAGCAGCCCTTGGGAGAGGTCCACACAGCGAGGAACTGGGGCCCCTGCCAGCAGCCACGTCAGTGAGCAGAGCAAGGCTTCAGATGACTACAGCCCTGGCCAACATCCTCATGGCAACCTCACGAAAGACCCTGAGCCAGAACCACGCAGTAACCCACTTCCAGATGCCTGGCCCAAGAAACTGAGCGAGAGGATGAATGTTTGCTGCGTTGAGTTACCAAGTTTGAGGATAATAACGCTGTTACACAATAGACAACTGAAAGAAGCGAAGGCGGAAGTAAAGTACAGCAAGTTTAAGTGGTTTGTTCAAGGTCATGTGACTAGTAAGTGGCAGATCCAGGATCAAACACAGGGGGCACTGTGAAGCCCCTGGTTTCTGTACCAGGCCAGGCTGCCTCCTAAAGATGCTCAGTGTGGCAAAGACAAAATCGTCTGTCTGTGCGAGTATAAAATCTTTGCAGACTGGTTCAGGTTACAGTTTCAGGAGGTTGCTTTCTCGGTTTCCAAAGAAGCTGCTGACTTGAAGAATTTCTGAAAGAGTGGTGGTAAAAAAGCAATTCTAATAAAGAAGTGTACTGTTCCATTTAAAGAATTTCTGTGAAGACATTTCATTGGGATAGATTAAAACAAGTCTGTCATAAATCAGAAAAGAGGTAACTTCAAAGTAACTTTTTTCTTTAGCTTATAATTATGGTATAATAAAATAGTTTTCAGGACTTCCCTGGTGGTCCAGTGGTTAAGAACCCACCTGCCAGGAGAGGGGACATGGGTCTGACCCCCGGTCTGGGAACAGGGCAACTGCGCCCTTGAGCCTCAGCCACTGAAGCGCATGCGCCCGACGCCCGTGCGTCACAGCCCGAGGAGCGCAGCAGCGGGAAGCCCCCAGCGGCAGCTAGAGAGCGGCCCGCTCCGGTGGCCGGACACAGCCCGAGCTCAGCAAGGGACGCTCAGCCCAGGCCGAATACATACATCAAACAAAAACAAGATAAAATAGTTTTCGGAGTGTGAAGAGATTGCTCCATTTAAAAATACATTCACTGTATTTATCTGTTCAATATTATTTATATATATCTTCAATATATTTGTATATATTCAAATACTTATATTTAGTATTTATGAAGGAATTACTGAAAGGCAGTATTTCTCAGAGGTTTCTTAGTTACCATTCCAAAGGCCAAAATCTTGGAGTCAGCAAAGATTTCTTCAACAGGACACAGAAGGTACCAGTCTTAATAACACAACCTTGATTAGCCATTGTAAGCTATTTACATGCATGGTGTTCAGTGTAAGCGGATAAAACTTCATACCTTCATCCTAGCACTATGGAATGACTCAATTTCCCTCCTCCTACTGTTCCTTCCATTTTCCTAGTCAAACTAATAAAATGGTCCTTTCATCCAGTCATTCCACTAAGCATTATCATTAGTTCCCTTATCAGGAATATTAGACTCTTTGCGCTTAAAAGCAGAGGAGTCTCCTGGCACCCCAAAGCAGGAATATTGCTGGGTCCCAGTGAGCTATGGAATTGTGAACTGGAGAGCTCTCTCTCTCCACCTCTTGTCTATGATTCCAACTTCATGTCTGTGGAGTAGGTTTAATGGAAGAATCTCTATTCAGTGGCAAAAAACATGCAACACTTTGGTTCTCCAAATAATTTTGCTTCTCCAGAGTCTTAGTTCACTCTGGAAATAGAAAAAAAAATCTAATAATGTCAAGTAACAGCAAGTTGGGTCTCTTTGGATAAATTAACTGATTCTGGTGATTGGTTTTAGACCTGATTACCAAAACCTTAGTCTCCTGACAAGTTCACATACCTTCTTCCCAAGGACAGCTTAGCTGTTAGTGATGTGGAGCCATGGGCCTTTCCATTTCCCTTTGTGGGCCTGCTTCATGACTGGAGGGATGAGTAGAGCCTGGGGAGAGAGTTCAGCCAGTGAGCGTGCAAGCCCTGGCACACGGGAGGTCACGGTAAGGATACGAAGTAATTTCAATTGGTCTTTGCTGCTACTTCATCTGACACTAGCAACAAAACACTGGTGATGTCTGTGGCAGGGAATGGGTTTCAGGAGACTGAATACATCACTCCCCTCCACTGGGATGCATACAGGGGAGTCACATGGAAGGAGACAGAAACACCAGAGTAACTCCCTCTGATGCTTACGCTGGACCCGACGGCCTAAAATGCTACATGGAGCAGGCAGGTGAATGTTCCACCTCTGAGTCAGACACATGGACCCAGGCATGGTTCCCAACAGTGCTGACTCCTATTCAGGGCCTCTGGGGGGAGATGCTGACCCTGCTTCCTTTCTCTTAACCAAGAGAAAGGAAGGGAGTACTCAGACAGGCATCCACAGTTCCTCCACCCAAGTTCACCCGTCTGGCAAGTCCATTTGCCTCCCTGGAGGGGCAGTGAGTGAGACAAACAGCTAAGAGAAATCTCAGCCAAGGTAAAAAACAACTCATATATTCATAAATGAATATGAATGCATTTGTATTTGATTTTATAAGCAGCATAATGAAAAATATGCCTGGTAGGTGATTCATAGGATTAGCTTGTTTAGGCAGAATCATCTAAAGAACAACATGAAAGAAAGTGGGAAGAGAATGGGAGATGAATGCAAGAGGAAAAGAAAGCAAATCACTACATGTAGTATGTATGCAGGTGGCCAACAGGCCTGTGAAAATTTGCTCAACATTGCTGATTATCAGAGAAATGCAATTTCTCAGATATTAGCTATCACCTCACACTGGTCAGCATGGCCATCATTAAAACCTCCACAAATAACACATGCTGCAGCGGATGTGGGGAAAAGGGACCCAGCTACACTGCTGGTGGGAATGTCAGCTGGCGCAGCCACTGTGGAAATAGTATGGAGGGGCCTCAGAAAACAACAAAAATAGAGCTTCCATATGATTCAGCAATCCCACCCTTCAGCATACCCCTGGACAAAATTTAAAAAGATACACACACACCTGTGTTCACAGAACCACCATTCACAGTAGCTGAGACATGAAAACAACCTAGATGTCCATCAGCAGATGAGTGCGTAAAGACGTGGTGCACACGTACAATGGAATACTCCTCAGCTATAAAAAGGAACAGACCTAACACCAGACACGAAAATAAACTCTAAATGGGTGAAAGATCTAAATGTAAGGCCAGAAACTATAAAACTCCTAGAGGAGAACATAGGCAAAACACTCTCCGACATAAATCACAGCAAGATCCCCTATGACCCACCTCCCAGAATATTGGAAATAAAAGCAAAGATAAACAAATGGGACCTAATGAAACTTAAAAGCTTTTGTACAACAAAGGAAACTATAAGCAAGGTGAAAAGACAGCCCTCAGATTGGGAGAAAATAATAGCAAACGAAGCAACAGACAAAGGATTAATCTCAAAAATATACAAGCAACTCCTCCAGCTCAATTCCAGAAAAATAAATGACCCAATCAAAAAATGGGCCAAAGATCTAAACAGACATCTCTCCAAAGAAGACATACGGATGGCTAACAACACATGAAAAGATGCTCAACATCACTCATCATCAGAGACATGCAAATCAAAACCACAATGAGGTACCATTACACGCCAGTCAGGATGGCTGCTATCCAAAAGTCTACAAGCAATAAATGCTGGAGAGGGTGTGTAGAAAAGGGAACTCTCTTGCACTGCTGGTGTGTGTGTGAGTTGCTCAGTCGTGTCTGACTCTTTGCAACCTCATGGACTGTAGCCCACCAGGCTATACAGTCCATGGAATTCTCCAGGCAAGAATACTGGAGTGGGTTGCCATTCCCTTCTCCAGTGGATCTTTTTGACCCAGGAATCAAACCGGGGTCTTCTGCATTGCAGGCAGATTCTTTACCAATTGAGCTATCAGGGAAGGCTTTCCCACACTAAATAACCAACAGTCTTCTCAAGGAGCACATCAGATAACACCCTTATCAAGTTATGTACAGGTTATCATTTGCTAATGTTCTTGTAGGCATTACTATCCTGGAGGATTGTGTAAGAAACCCTGATTATTAAGACTAGGTATACTGCAAGTTAATGTAAATTTTAAGACATATAATACAAATTAGAAGAATCCAGTACAGGAGTTTAGTAAGTACAAAATGGCATGTAAATTGCGACAGAAACACAGGTAAAGTCCCAAGAAGTTTTACATAAATATACTTCTGAAATATGTATTAAGATTGCATATACTATGGGGTCCCCTTTTTAAAGAAAACAGACATTTCTGTTGCTGCAGTAAGGATTTCCCGATAGTGGGGGACAGAATGGAAACCACTCTGAGTAGTCCACAGAGTATACCCAATTACTAACTAGATATATTTAATCTGGGCATAAGAACCTTGATTGCTATAATCATTTGGGAGGCTTTCACCCAGACACTTGTCTATAATAAGGTCAGGCATTGATGCCTGTTGATTTTACTTGGCGCTAAATAAAAACATGCAAAGGAGGAGTCGTGACAGAGACTAAAAAGTTATGCATATTTGCTATACTGTTAAAATGCAAGTGTTAAGTCACTCAGTCGTGTCTGACTCTTTGCAACTCCATGGACTGCAGCCTGCCAGGTTCCTCTGTCCATGGAATTCTCCAGGCAAGAATACTGGAGTGGACTGCCATGCCCTTCTCTAGGAGGTCTTCCCAACTCAGGGACTGAACCCAGGTCTCCTGCATTGCAGATGGATTCTTTACCGTCTTAGCTACCAGAGAAGCCCTTACTATACTGTTAGCCAAAGCATAAATGTGATTCAGCCACAACATGTCATCAATCCGTAAGGCTACAGGAAGGCCTTCTGCACAGACTTGGGAATAAAATTTCCTACTGAGAGCTGCTCTTTAAAATGAACAAAGGACTATTTAGAACAGAGACATGCTAAGTCACCTGGAGGAAACAGAATGGCTTCCAGGATGGTAGAACGTTGCAGTGATTTAGTATTTTAAGAAGAAACTGGGTGCATCGGTTTAGGTAGTGTTAGACACAAAAATGGAGTCACTGAGGCAAATCCAAATGTTGGTTGGCTCTCTGGGATCACTGCTCAGGAGAAGGGGGACTTAGTCAGTCTTTCCATTGGTCCATTTGTATTCATTCATTCACTCATGCATTCACTCACTGAACTTAGCAGAGTGCCTACTTGGCTAAGTAGTATCCTACGTGCTGGAAATAGGGAAGTGAAAAAGTCCACGTTCTCAAGAAGTTTATTCTAGTGGGGACAGCAGTCATTGTAAAAAATAAACACACACACTAATAACATTAGACGTGTGCTTCAGAAAGAGCTTACCAAGGTAGCAAGGTCAGGGAGAAGGAATATGTTTAGATTGAAAAGTCAAGACAGGTGTCTCTAAGGAGATGACAACAAAGCAGTGTACCTGAGTAAAGTGAGGAAGTGAGCCATATGAAGGTCAGAGGGAAAGTTGTTTTTTTTTCCAGTATGGAACTCTTCATGAATTTGCATGTCATCCTTGCACAGGGGCCATGATAATCTCTGTATCGTTTTAATTTTAGTATATGTGTGGCCGAAGTGAGCACAGAGGGAAAGAGTTTTATGCAGACAGAACAGCAAATGGAAAACTCAGAGGCTGAGACGACTTCTGTGGTCAAGGGGCAGAAGGAACCCGGTTTGGGTGTTCATTAGCGCTGTCTGCCAAGAGTTCTCTCCTCTTCCAGGCGCAAGGTAGGATGGAACCACCTTGTTCTTCTGTGAGTGGGTTAGCACCGTGTGACTAATTCTGGGCAGTGAGTCACGAGTAGAAATGCCATGTGCTACTCCCAAACACAGCCAATGAAAGACCCTTTCGATCTCTTCTCTTCTGCCATGATAACTGGTAAAGTTAAAGATAGCAACTGCTTCCATCAGCCCTGATCTAGGACTGAGGAAGAAAATCATGCGGGGTCAGAGCTCCTAGATGACCTTTAATAGCTATGTGAGGACATTAATATGAATTGTGTCAAGCCTCTTGAGATTTGGAGTTCTTTGTTACCTCAGTATGGCATAACTTGTCCTGACTGACAGTGTAACTGGTGAGGAGAAAGCTGCAGGGAGAGTAGTAGGGGGTAAGATTTAAGGATAAGCAGGAGATAGAACATGGACAGCCTTGCAGACTACGAAAAATTTGGATTTCATTCTGTGTGAAGGAAAAACCTTTGGCAGACTTGAGCAGAGGGATGCCATGACAGGATTTGCATCTTAAAAAGAATCATTTAGTCATGTAGGGAAGCCCTTGTTCATGAGAAATACATACTGAGGTATTTAGGGATACAACTTGCTTTCAAATAGTTCAGTCAAGTGTGGGCGTGTTCACACACTCATGCATGAACAAAGGGTTAAATGGTAATGGTGAATTCTGATGTAGGGTTTGTGGGTGTCGTGCTCTTTTTTTTTGTGGAGTTAAAATTTTTGACATAAAAAGTTGGGGGTAGGGAAATCAGTGCAGGAGAAAACGCAAGGTCTAGAAGCAAGACCATTAGGAAGCTACTGCAGGTGAGATGAAGTGACTGGAGGCTGGAAGGACAATCCTGAGAATCGGGCAGATTTGAAATCTACTTCATCTGTGGGGCAGTGGGACCTGCTGGTTGGCTGCAGGATGTGAAGGTAAGACTGGAGTCAAAACGGCTCCAGGTTTTTGTTCTGAGAGGGAGACTGGTGATGCCACCAACTGTGATGGGGCAGCAGAGGAAGCAGCAGGTTTGGAGAACGTGAGGCTCATCCTGCTTTGGACATGTTAAGGGTGAGCGTCCTGTGGAGACTGGGCTGGGAGGCGAGGGAAGAGTTTGGCTGGAAACACAAAGTTTGGAATCATTGGCATGTGGTGGCACCCACGTTACAGAACTAAATGGAACCTACAGAAGCAAGTGCAGGTGAAGGCCACGGCTGGGCACTGGGGAACTGGAGCATCACTGGCTGGGAGCGGGCTCACGTGGTTAATTTGATTTCTCCTGTTCTGATTCCATGCTTACTGAGCAACCACATTATTATTATTTGACTTCCCACATATAGGTCCGACTGGTCAGATGGACTTGGAATAATCTCGTTCCTGGGACAGTTCTTAATGTAAATAAATTGGTCACACTCACAAGTGTGGTTAGATTCAGTCCCTGAGACAGAGCCATTCTCAGCAGGCTGACAAAATCTGATGGTGAGTCTACATAAGGAGCCATACGCAGGACTGGAAATTCTCCGAGGAAGTGCATGCCACACTGCTTGTTGGCACTTCTTTGGCTCAGAGTAACCTCCTGAGGAAGAATGCTTCCAGAATTGTTGCAAAAACCGCTGCCCAGTTACGGCTAAGAGAATATTGCCCTTTTTGACTGTATCTTTTTTTTTTTTTTGGCTGTAAAAGCACTGATCCATTAGTGTGTATCTCACATTCTTCTTCTTCCATCATAATCTTGCATTTTCTTAGATCAGGATCCTTATTTTATTAGCTATTTAAGGGGCATTCTATATGTGTGTGCTCTAAATTTACTTTTTAAAATTTTATTTCATGTGAGTAAGTAGCATTCAAATGGCTCAAAAATCAAAACGCCGTAAGGTATACACTGAGAAATCAGCTCTGCCCTATGCATGCTTGCCCCTCCAGTCACTGTCCCACCATTTATTTGTGGATCCATCTAGATTTGTATGTGTTCTTATCACTCAGTTGTGTCGACTCTTTGAGACCCCGTAGATTGCAGCCTGCCTGGCTCCTCTGCCCATGGAATTCTCCAGGCAAGAATATTGGAGTGGGTAGCCATTCCTTTCTTCAGGGTATTTTCCCGACCCAGATATCAAACCTGGGTCTCCTGCATTGCAGGCAGATTCTCTACTGTCTGAGCCAGGAGGGCTGCTACCAATCTCCTGCTATTTACAAAGCTCCAGCCTAGCCCCCCCCTCCCCCCACGCCAAATGGCAGTTTTCCTTTTCCCTGCTTTGCTGTCATGATGGGAAAAACATATACTATTCCTTTTGGAAGAGAATGACTAATTGCTGATAAAAGTTCAGGCTCAAATTGAACTCTTCCCTTCCCGTTTTAGTTTAAAACATGGATAACACTTCCAGTGTAACATGGTTAAACAACTCTTTGGCTAAAGCAACTGAAGGATGTTCAACTATTTAATGCCTATTGTTTTGGGAATAAAAATGGCTTGTGCTGACCCAATGAGAAAAAAATAAGGGGTTCATAAAAGTTACTGGGAAAAATGTGTTTGTGGAAGGTAGGCTGACATATAACTACAGAAACAAACAAACAAAAAAACAATAACTACAGAAAATAAAAACCTCAGTTGAGAAGCTTTTCTCTCCCATGGTTTAGCAGATTCTGTTTTCCAAAGATAGCTGCCTCAACCCATCTCATCCCACATGCTCTTCTTTTAAGGTGACATCAACATTCCCCATTGAGTGGTGGGGCCTGTGTTCCCTCCCGTTGAATTTCAGCTGACCTTTATGGCTGCCTCAACCGACAGAATACAGTGAAACCTGTCCAGCTAAATTCAGGCAGCTCTCAGAGCCGTGAGAGGTAATGATACAGTGATTCAAATCAAGTAAAATTTGAATAAAATTTTTGAGTGAATAAAAATATTCATCATGCAGCAATAAAAACAGGAACATGGTCTCAACTTTAATCATCTTTACATTTTCTTTGGTCTTCTTTAATTTTTATTCAGATTTTACTTTAATTTTATTTATTTTTGTTGCAGGTCAGCTCAAACCCTTTGTGGAAGTGGGTTTAAGTATAACGTAACCACAGTTTTAGAAATACTCTTTTATCTAACTCAGTAATGTGAATTCCCTAGTGTTATTCTGCAAAGAACAAGGATGACCCATGAAAGCTTTATCACCATTTTTGAGGATGTTTTTAATGAAAAGAAAAAAGATTGCTTTGTATAGACCTGTTCTACATTTTCTGCTTCTTTCCCCTGCAGATTCTTTGCCATGAAAGCTTGATAGAAATAATTAGGACCACATCTATGCGGACCAGAGCTCCTCAACAGACATTTTTGGCTACTACTCTGTGGCAGATGTTAGATTAGGTACCAAACACAGAAGACCCACTCCCAGCTTACACAGGGGCTCCTGGGCCAGTGACTATTAATCGCTATCAACNATTAGGACTACATCTATGCGGACCAGAGCTCCTCAACAGACATTTTTGGCTACTACTCTGTGGCAGATGTTAGATTAGGTACCAAACACAGAAGACCCACTCCCAGCTTACACAGGGGCTCCTGGGCCAGTGACTATTAATCGCTATCAACGCCTACCAGATGAAAGGCATGGGCATGCACGGAAAAGCCTCTGAATGCCTTCACTGATGGAGAAGTATTTAAAACAACAGCAGCAAAATAAAGCAAAGTTATCAAGTGACCTGACAGGCAATTTTAAAAAGTGAATGAAAAAAAGATACAATAATTTTACAGTACATCTATATATCTATGGATTTAGTATAAGAAAGAGAAATAATACATTCTCTCCATAATCACAGAAGTGAAATAGTGTTACCACATATGACATAAGAGGTCCAGAGTGGCTTGGCTCAGACGGTAGGCTAAGATGGTGAAGAATCTTCCTGCAATGCAGACCTGGTTCGATCCCTGGGTCAGGAAGATCCCCTGGAGAAGGGAATAGCTACTCATTCCAGTGTTCTAGCCTGGAGAATTCCATGGACAGAGGAGCCTGGCAGGCTACAGGCCATGGGGTCTCAAAGAGCCAGACACAACTGAGCAACTAACACTTTCACTTTCATATAACATAAACCTTACAAAAATAAAATTTTATTTAATATAAAAGATTTGCAATGATGGAACATTTTTTGTGTGTCATCCTTGTGCAAAGGTCACGCTAATCTTCTTACTGTTCAAATTTTAGTATGTGTGCTGCCCAACTGAGCATGGGACATTACAGTCTTTTAATACACCATCAGTCATTGCTTTTTCAAGTTTAACTGTAATGAAATTTTAAAAATTGGCTTTCCCAAATTTAATTTCAGTCCAAGTGGTGTCACTATCCACTACACATTAACCTTTAAGGAAAACTGCCTGAAGGTAGGAACCATATCTATTTGTTTACCATGGTATATTCAGCATCTGGCACATAGTAAGCACTCAAGAAGAATTTGTTGAATTAGTAAACAGGAAACACATAATTAGAACAGATTAAAGAAAACAGTTTTATTCAACAAGCCCTTCTGAAAACTCGGTATGAACACAGTATTGCCTAGGGTGTTACAGAGAACTACCAAAAGTAGAAGATACTGCCCTTATTCACAGCCAGAATCACAGTATTATTTGCATTTATAAACCTTTAAAACATAAACATTAAAAAATTCATATTAGACATAAATATAGCAGTCTCTCAGTATCTAAGGGGGATTGGTTCCAGAACACACCCCCAGCCCTGCCCCCCAGCAGACACTAAAATCTGTGGATGTTCAGGTCTCTTATAAAAAAATGGCACAGCATTTGCATATAAGCTATTCACATAGTCTTTGTACTTTAAATCATCTCTAGATTACTTATAATACCTAATACAATGTAAATACTATAAAAAGATCCACTTACTCAGACCTTGGCTTCACTCATCCAGGCTTCCTCCTCAGAACTGTTCCATAATGAATGCAATCTACACTATTCATATCTGAATGTCTGGTGGCCTCACGTATCTCTAGACTTTAAAGTTCTATTTTCCTAACTAGGTTGAATTAACTTGAAAATCAGTGGTCACATGCCTGCCTTGTTTTATGGCTTGAGTTGGATTAAAACTCTGATTAATAAAAAGCTTCCAATTTTATAGCTCCTCTTCTGAATCTTGATCATAAATTTCCTGAGGTTGTCTCTCAATATTGATTACTAAGTCAACAGTCAAAATGTTTGTCAAGCACTGAAGAACTGAAGTTAGTAACTGGTATTTACCAGCAACTGATTCCAAACCTGTCTGGTTGCTTATCATGGGTTGATTGGTTTGTAGTGCCTGGAGAGCTCTTACATATACTTGTGGAAAGCTGTAATTTCCTTTCTTAGACTTATACAAGATTTTGGGAACGCCTAAAAGTGCATTAGCTATTATCCTACTAACCATGGTTTGCTCTGATTGCCGGCATTTTTTGGCATAGTTGAGAAGATAGTAATGCAATAAGATCTCAAAATTACCACCCACAGGCAAAACACAACCAGCTGGTATAGATGAGAAATAGTAACTTTGGGAAGAACACATCTCTAGTGACTTATATCTCAGTGGTAACATGCTGTCCTTTCTAGCAAGTTTTGTAACCTGTAAATTTTCGTAAGAAATTTCTCTTCTAGTATTTTCTGTTGTTGAGTTAGCAGAATTACTCTCAATATATGGTTCATGGTCATCCATTATCGTCCCTTTGTTTGGGGATGAACATCTCAATGTTTCTTCTGTCTGGTATGAATCTGTTACTGCCACTTTTGGTGCTGAACACAATACAGTTTTCTCTAATTTGACATTTGGAACTATCAAATTTGAACATACTTTTAAATTCGTTTGAGTTTTTGTCAGTTCACCTTTGTTCTTTACAACAGTGTCCTGATACGACCTTTGTACTGAGCTGTTAACAATTTTTGGTAACTCATTCTTTTCTCTACTATTCTCATACATACGAGGACCTGATGTACAATTTTGGTCACTGGTTTGTGTCACATAATTTAGATCAAGGTCTTTAAATACCTGCCGAAGCATTTTAAATGCTCCATGTAAAGCATCCTCGTGTTGTTCGATGAGACCCTGCACGGGTCCACAAAGAATTACACAGTGCGGTGTAAACGAGCAGGTGCTCACCAAGCCAAGATGAACATACCTTTTGGATCTAAGGATGAGGGGTTTACAGAATTTCACCAAAGCAGTGTGCGAGAGTTCATACTGAGAAGAGGCCTCTGGTAGTGCAAAGGGAGCAAGACCAATGACTCTCTGGATAAGAGAAAGTTCTTCATGTGATAAACACTCCACCACAGATATGCCATTCAGTCCTGCACAATAAATTACTAAGTCTGGTTGTTTCACAGTAGATAGGAGTAATTTTACATTCTGACTCTGTAAATGTTTCACTATTGCTTTTGTTCTTTCTGTAATCCAAAGCTGAGATGTCTGAAACTGTGCTTCTGAATTTAGAATAAACTCTGATCCAGAAACTGAAAAAAGAGGCTGAATGGTTTCTGTTACTATCGCTATTCTTATGTCACCATCTGCTGGACAGTACACAGAAAAGTCTCTCTGAAGCACAAGCCCAGCTATGATCCTGGAATCAGAAACAGGGAGGCCAGTGACGCCAACTTTCAACTCAACAAAACAGTCATCCACTATCTCAAGTACTTCTTCAAACCTACTTTCACAAGCTGTACACTTGAAAACATAGTCACACATCAACTGAGATATTAAGTTGTGATTATTTCTTCCCACTCTTCCACAAAAGTATGCTCCTAAGAGCATCTCTAAAGAGCTCCTACACAATGTTCTTTCTTTACTGCATGAAGAAAAGATGGACAAGAAGTGTCTACTTAAGTAAAAGTCCATAATGTAGTCTAATATTTGTGTCTGAAATGTTAGAAGAGCTTGGGAAATAAATTTCCACTGACAGCAATTTTTCCAATGCCTTCCACAGGTTTGAATATTTTCAAAAAGGAAATAATCCTTTTCCTTGTCTGTGATCTCCCGAAGTCCTCTGAGTAAATGGCAAAGAAAGATAATAAATGTTTTAGCACCATCTCCTGTTTGTCTCAGATGACTGGAAACACAGGCCACCATCACCCTGCACAAGAAAGAAAGCAAGCAGCTTAGATTTTCAGAGGGCCGACTTTCCACATCTGAATCAAGTTGAAAGCATGTTTTCACATCCATAAAACGAGAATACTACCTCCTTGATGTCCTTAGTCTGTTTTTTCCCCTTTAAAATTTACTTAAAAATAGGCTGAATGGTTTCTGTTAATTAAAAAGGAAAAACAACAGAACCACTTTTGTTCTATTTCAAATTTCTAGGGTTGGGTCGAGCTAGAAGGAAGAGAAATGTTTTCAGTTGTGGAATGTTCCCTAGGACGGCGCTCTAACTCTGAGCATACACTGGTCTCATCCAAGGTCAGTTTTCTCCAGGGACAGCTCCCGAAAAGCCCCGACCTCTTTTTCCATCTTCGCGGGCTATTGGACCTCTAGCTCCTACTGGCTGGGCGAGAGGGGAAAAGGTCAATTTTCCCAAAAAGCAAAACCTTACGGACAAGAAGTCCAGAGAGATGACGTTAGGTGTCCATCTGGAGTGTGGGACGTGAGTACCTAATTAAGGGATGCTCTAACCGGCTGGAGCGTGCGTCGCGGGTACCTGGCTACGGGATGCTCTAAATGTAGCGCCTTCAACAGGCGGCCTCCATCCCGGCTGAGCAGCACCTCGCCAGTGGGCTTGGTACACAGAACTTGCCGCCCTTCGGGCCCCAAGCAACCGCTCACGATGGTTTCTAGCACTTCCGCCACATGCAACGCCACCGTCACAGACCCCGCAGCGGCCATAGACCTTCAGGTTCCAGCAGCCTACGCAGTCCGCTTGCAGAAAACCAGGATTCCCGGGAAGGAACAGAGATGGGTACCGCAGGAAGCGGAAGGGGCGGGTAGAACACCGGAAGTCGGGGCAACTAAGCTTCTTGGTTGGGAGAGGGTTGGCCGTCCTGCCCGTCCACCGGAAACGGCCGCACCGGCAGGCCAGTAGAGCTAGCGGTCCAAAAGCCCGCGAAGGAAGAAAACACGTCGGGGCTTCTCGGGAGCTGCCTCTGGAGAGGAAGCTGAAAGCCCTTCCCCAGCTCACTGGGTGAATTAATTCCTTTCTTGGAGGCTTCAGCTGCCACCAAATCCCTTCGTCCCCGAGGAGTTCGGCACGATAGTGGAGGAACTGGGCGCTGCGGCTAGAATTCGGTTCGTTCCCACTGCCGTGAAAAATTCGTTCCCAAACCTCTGCCTTGAACTTGTGCACATCCTGTCCACATTCTGCACCAGCGGTTTTCTTTCGCGATGCAGGCCAGATGAGGAGGGCCTGGCCACGGTCACGAGCTGCAGGCTCCAGGCTTTCTGCAGGTGGCTTTGCCACATTCCTGGGCTTAAGTATCAACAACATGAAATCCTCACCACCGCAATTTTCTTTTTCTTTAGCAGAGGTGATAGATGTGAAGACTTATTGGTAATCAATAGCATGCTTTCAAAACAGTGACCCAGGATTATTGCACACAATCCAATGGCAGGAAAAAAAAAAAAAAAAACTACTGTTAAGCAGAAAGAACACACTATTTCTTACGTTAAGACACACACCCCTCTGTCTTAAGGATGAAATGGTAAAGAGCATGGGCTTAAGATTTACCTGGGTTTGCTGTGCCATTTACTTATCTGTCACATTCTTTTGTCTCCACTTTCCTCATTGTAGAGGAAAAAATGGTGATATGTAAAAAAGAGTTTTGAGTGCGACAGTGGACAGTGTTTAGAAAGCTGTGGATTTTTTTTTTTTTTTTCGGCACAGGGTGTCATACGTACTAAGCACTCAACAAATACAACATCTCAACAAATGACTGTCACTTGTCACTGGTATTCAGTTCACTTCAGTCGCTCAGTCGTATCCGACTGTTTGCGACCCCATGAATTGCAGCACGCCAGGCCTCCCTGTCCATCACCAACTCCTGGAGTTTACTCAGACTCATGTCTATCGAGTTGGTGATGCCATCCAGCCATCTCATCCTCTGTTGTCCCTTTCTCCTGCCCCCAATCCCTCCCAGCATCAGGGTCTCCAGTGTAGGGACCCACTATTTCCACAAGAAAGGTATATTTTGTAAGGTTCAAAAGAATTTTCAACCCAATACAACTATAAGAGTTTGGTCAACATCAGTAAAATTACCTTGTAGGTATTTCATTGAGCTTGAACAGTGAGGGGCTGTTTTCCCTAGCCTTTACTCCTAGTATAGGACAGGAGACACCTGTAAGCCCTCCCATTCCCCACAGTAAGACAAAACTAACTTGCTCTTAGCCAGAAGCAACTGAGGGGAGCAAATACAGGTTTGGAGGATGATGGAGGAAAACTAGAGGAATGATTTCTTGTAACAGATGTGATGTTGATGTTCACTCAGTTGGGACTAATAGATGATTTGTTGGGGGGAAAACGTTTTCATGTGAGTTTTGATATATGCTTATGTCAGACTTTATTATTTTGGGCTCCAAAATCACTGCAGATAGTGATTGCAGCTATGAAATTAAAAGACGCTTACTCCTTGGAAGGAAAGTTATGACCAACCTAGATAGCATATTAAAAAGCAGAGACATTACTTTGCCAACAAAGGTCCGTCTAGTCAAAGCTATGGTTTTTCCAGTAGTCATGTATGCATGTGAGTTGGACTGTAAAGAAAGCTGAGCACCGAAAAATTGATGCTTTTGAATTGCAGCATTGGAGAAGACTCTTGAGAGCCCCTTGGACTGCAAGGAGATCCAATCAGTCCATCGTAAAGGAGATCAGTCCTGGGTGTTCATTTGAAGGACTGATGTTGAAGCTGAAACTCCAATACTTTGGCCACATGATGCAAAGAGATGACTCATTTGAAAAGACCCTGATTCTGGGAAAGATTGAAGGCAGGAAAAGGGGATGACAGAGGATGAGATGGTTGGATGGCATCACCAACTCAATGGACATGGGTTTGGGTGGACTCCAGCAGTTGGTGATGGACAGGGAGGCCTGGCGTGCTGCAATTCATGGGGTCGCAAAGAGTCGGACACGACTGAGCGACTTAACTGAACTGAAGGATAGCAAGGTTTTTTTCCTTATCCATCACAAAGGGGCTACTTGATTTGAGCAATGGATTATTACAAACATTTAAAAGTAAAGTGCTTCTATCAGAGTTCTATTTAAGTGTACAGTGGAAAGAGAATGGACATTGAAGCCAGACATGGATTCAAACTTGGGCTTGCTATCACTATTAGTATGTAGCTTTCAGAATTATTTAACTTCTCTGAGCCTCTTCATCTCTCAAATCTAAATTCCACTTATTTGAAGGTTATGGGTATTCATGAAGAATGAATGTAAAACATCATGTAAAGCATACATTAGAGACTCTAGCTGTTAAATCCCTTCACCATCCTTCACAACTACCCCCCAAATGACTTAACTAAAAACTTAATACTAAGTAATTTTGTCACCATGTTATAATCAAAGTCATTTGATCAGTTTGCTCTTTTTAAAAATTTTATTTAGAATGCCTACTTGAAGTTAGCATCATTTTACAGATTATTAGAAAAATTCAGTTCTTTTGTCTCTGCAAACATTTATAATAGGTTAGGAGTAACAGATTAGAAATGTAATACATTACAAAACAGTTGCCTATGACTATCTGTACATATACTATGCACCTTAAGGAAAAGAAATTGACAGTGTGCTGTACTTACACTGCAGATAACATACTTTTATTCTGTTTTACAAAACTGACCAGTGTTTGAATTTATAAATGATCATTAAACAGGATATTTAACTTAGATATATAGTTAACATGCTAAAAAGTAAAAAATTACAACTGAAGTTGTGTGGCTCATCAGTTCAAATATTTCATGGCATTTTTTTAAAATTTATTATTTTAATTCTCAAATAATTTTTCATGATAAATTCAGAAAGAAAATTTTCTAAATATTTTAGAAAGTATATTCACATTCATTTTGTCACGGGTTTCTTGTGGCTCTTCTAAATATGTTAATCACATTAAGGAGACACTGGTCCTATACAGTTTTAACAGTCCATCTTCAATTAAAACTGTAACAAAACAAACAGCATGTTAAGAGTAACAAAAAGTAAATTAAATATACTAAATTCACACTATAGGTAAACAAAATAAAACCAAATTACATAACAGTGGCAAGTTATACAGGTTAAAGAATCTCTTTTTCCACATAGTCAAATAAGATAGAAGTTCAAATGTAAACTTAGTGATCTGTGTGGGATTCCTCCCCTCTCAGCTATGGTTCAAATTGGAAAATTTGGTATAAATGCTAATTTTAATATTTCTGTGCATTTAACATAATTCAAAATAATCTTCAGCGTCATGTATGGCTCATCAAATGTCATTTATCACTGTATGTCAAACAAAAAAACAAAAAAAATAATCACTCACCACAAAGCCAAAAAACGGAAAAAAAGGAAATTTAAAAAATTGGTTTCCTAAAAAAATTGAACAAAAAAATCCTCAAAAAAGGTAAAACTGCCTTCTCCACATAATTTTGTGTATATATGGCACAAGCTGACACCCTAAAACAGGAATTCCATCGAAAAGGCACTGTTTAACAATACTCAGAATAATTTGACAAGTCTACTTCAGTGATGTCTGAAAGTGAAGAATATATTTGAGATGGGTAAATGGACAAACCCTTATAAAAGTACAGCATTACTGTTTAAATATACTATAGCTATATAAAAGGAAATAAAGTGACACAGAAATGACCCTTTTATGACAATTAAGCCTATAAACACTTTGAATCCTATTACAGTTCTGTAACACAAAAATGACAAAATTATTTTCTTAAAGGCACAAAAGAGTGAATACTAAATCAGAGTTGTATTTTACAAGGCCAACTTTTTCAATGGAATGGTAACAAAAATTACACTGTACCTTTATAAGTAATACAAAAAAAGTAGTGATATGAAATACAAATGAAATATCTACTGCTGAAACTTGCTTATATCACACACCCTATTTATTGTCTTTTCTTAGGCCAGCTACATCTCATTAAATGGTAGATAACTGAAGGCATAGTATATTTAATAACTAAAACAAAAATGCACATGTCAATAACTATTACTTATTTAAATTTTCCAGTGAAAAAATAAAATTTTTGATCAAATGAAAAAAAGAAAAAAAACTGGTTATAGGCCTTAAATCCTAGAAACCATCATGACAGTCTCAGGTAACTGGGAACTGTAAATCCTAATTTTTATGAGTCCATGTGTGAAGGAAGATTAATCTCAGGTGGAAAACATTCAAAGTCAATTACATATATGGCGAAATACAAAGTTCATTATGTGTTCTAAAGGATTCACATACTAAGCCTAGTGCAAGAACCGATGTAAAACTAAGCCACCAACTCCTGAGTTTTGCGTTCAGTTCACAGAAAGGAACTCATATAAAAGTGTAAGACTATTAGACACATGCTTTTAGTGTATAAGAAACAGCATGAGTAACCCTGCTCTTTCTCATGAAATAGTTTTTGACTCCTGGGATAATAAGAACCCATAACATTTACCCTAACAAGAAAGTTTTAAT